AAGAAATTTAAATATTTTTTTTAAATAATTAAAGCCAAGATAGTTGCTACCAGATTCCAGGTCACAGTGGCTGCTTAGTGTTAACCAAAGCAGGAGGCAAGAGAACTCGGGGCCTCTTTTCCATAAGGAATTTTTCGCCTTAAGTTAAGTTAAGCCTTAAGTTAAGAAAGAGTTAAAAGGCAAAGAAGTTCAGATGGAAAAGAGGCACTAATTCTCCCGCCTCCTGATCTGGAAGCAGCCAATCATGTCTTCTTGAGCACGCTTACATTGGGCGGGGCGTGCTTCAGAGGAGAGAGGAGTGGGCGAGAAGGAGGAGGCTGGCTCTTTGCTGCAGACCTGGGCACTTGGCGGCTCCCGCGATGCAAAGTGCCCCGCAGCACCCGATGCTGCCACCCGCCCGCTGCCCCGGCCTGCTTCTCCAGGCTCTGCCGCTGGAAGTCCCGGATCGCCTCTGGGGGAAGGCTGGGTGAGAAGCAGAGTGAAGCTTCTCCGCGGTCTCCCGGAGCTGCACAGAGGCTCTCACAGGAGTGCGTGCCAGCGGCCGGCGGCCCGGAGTGGCCCCGGCTGCAAGACAAGGCAGTGCTTAAAGCAGTTGCTGCCGCCGCCACCACCCCTCCTGCGGGTGAAGGAGGGGCGGTGGCGGCGGCAGCGGCTGCTTTAAGCGCTGCCTTGTCTCGCAGCCAGGGCAGCTCCGGGCCGCCGGCCGCTGGCACGCGCTCCTGCGAGAGCCTCTGCGTAGCGCTGGAAAGCTGCGGAGAAGCTTCGCTCCGTTTCTCACCCAGCCTTCCCCCAGAGGCGATCTGGGACTTCCAGCGGCGGAGCCTGGAGAAGCAGGCCGGGGCAGCTGGCGGGCGGCAGCATCGGGCACTGTGGGGCACTTTGCATCGTGGGAGCCGCCAAGCGCCTTTGCTGCAGACCCGGGCGCTTGGCTGCTCCCGCGATGCAAATCCCCCCCCGCCGAGGCTGAGCTGGACCTGCTGAGCTGCTTCGCAAAAAGATGCCCAGCTGAGCCTCACCAGGTATAAACCTCACCGCACGTCACTGAGTGCTTCTGATACCTATAAATAGTGTCTGAAGAGAGACTGGGCAATAGATGGTGGGCTGATCCCAACCCCTAGAAGCCATCTGACCTATAGGTCAGAGAAATGTGTTGGAATGAATTCATGGCTTTGGATTGTACTTAAGTTTTGTTTGTTTAATGCATTTGTATGGACACTGTCATGACCCAGCATATAACTTTTATATACACTTGTTGCTCTCTAGCCCCATCTAGTGCCTGGAGGGACAAATATGCCCCAACATACGTTCTTTATATAGTGTTGTTGCTCTCTAGCCTCATCTAGTGGGCGGAGAGACAAATACCAAGTATATTGTTTGAAGCTGACCCAACCTGTTTATTCATTAGCCTGCACTCTCAAAACAAGTGCAAGCTGGGAAGCCGGACTCCATTTCCTTTAGCATTTGGAGAAAGCAGAAACCCAAAGAAGAATCCATCTTATTCTTTGGCACATGGTCATCCAAGGAGAAACCCACATCCCACATACAGGGCATTGCTGGTGAGATTTAAATTACCTGTTTTTATTAATTGTTATGTTCAGCAGTACTCAATACTGCCTATCTTGTATTTGGTTCTCATTGTATGTATTCCTATTTTCACCAGTTCCACCATATCCTGTTCTTTCAATAAAACTCTACGCACATGTTTTTTTTAATTGGAGGATAGGTGGATTTAGCTGCATGTCGAGCTGCAAACAGACTAATGTGTAGTGAGGACAGAACAGACACCAACTCAAGCTTGTGACTCTGGGTGGCATACAGAAGGGTTGCCTCAACTACGATTTGGAAATCTGACATTGGTATTTAAGGAATGACATAAAGAAGAAGTTGCTGCAGCATGATAGCACAGTGAGCAATGTCTGTGAGTATGATGCGCCTGATTTGCATAGCTAAGGGTAAAGAATCTAT